TATGGATGGGAAAGTCATGGTTTGTACAATAGATACATGTATCTGTATGGATGGGAAAGTCATGGTTTGTACAATAGATACATGTATCTGTATGGATGGGAAAGTCATGTGTTTTGTAAGTGCATGTCATGAACAATTATACTAATTCAAATATGCTAGTTTAAATTTAGCATTAGGTATATGTCAAGTATAATTTACATGTAACTTATTTGATTATCGGCTGCAGATCGTCCGTTGTCTATATTATTTGGAGTGTTTGCTATAGGTCGTCATCATGTTCCAATTAGCAACAATTAACATTGACCAACTGTGAATCGATACCACTAATCGGTTTATAAAAAATCATTACGTACAACTAGCATCCCTTATGGAAGTCAAATTGATTCTGTTATCAAACACAGAGTCAATATTCATATGGGGTTATAAATTGCATTTGGTTTTTCACTAAAAGAGATTTTTACGAATGATTTAACACGAAAGATTTTCCCAGAAATCAATAGTTTTGTTAGGTTTGTATAATATTTCTCGTCACTGAATTTACGGCTTAGGGTATCTATAATTCATATAGTGTTGTGATCAAATGATCAATCAAAGAAGCTCCTGTTTCTCTTTTTATATTTATTTGAATATAAAACGATGGAATGCATTTTAATTGAAATTTACATAAAGTATTACTTCATAATCAGTCTTAATGTCATTGCTATCTTTATATTGATAATATCTACACATTCATTTCATTTACTGGATAATAATTTACTTGACTTTTTATGTTCTGTTTAATGTTATTGACATCTAGTTTTGTGAATCAGTATCTCTAATTAAAGTGTCTTCTTCCAAACAGCCATTCCCAAAGTCCATGGCCCCACTTTTTTTCCTTTTGCATGTAACAAGAATAATGTTTTTATATCAAAATTTTGGGAAGTCCTTGATAGATTTTATGCCCCATATTTATGAGGGTTTAATGTTTTCTGGTTTGTGCTTCTATCCCTTCAGGAGCAGCTTGAATTTGTTTGAACTTTATAGTTACACATTTTCATTATGATGTGAACTTTTGAAAATGTATGCCAAATTAGGGTGTTTACCATTATATCATTGTCCACTGATCAGGCTAAAGTTTTGGTTAAGGTAGTTTATCATGAAATTGTGATCACGTAAACTTAAAATTAAGAATGGAAATGGGGAATATGTCAAAGAGACAACAACCTGACCAAAGAGCACACAACAGCCGAAGGCCACCAATGGGTCTTCAACGCAGCGAGAAAATCCCACACCCGGAGGTGGTCCTGAAACTTTGTACACAACTTTGCACTTTTTAAAAACTTTGAAAGGTGATGGTGCAAGTTTTTTTTATCATCGTCAATTGCATAAATTCTCAGTAGATTTTATGCTCCAACAGTTATAGGGTAGAAGGACTGAAACCAGCACTACATAAGTCTACAGTCACCATTAGGAATTGGTTGACCAATATGATGTATCAGTGTCTGACTAGCGACATGTTTTTGTGATCTTAGATCTTTAGATGCCAGTAGTAGTCTGTTCTGTAATTTTACAGATTGTGTCCTATCCCTTGTCCCGTCCTAATCGATTCACAAGATTCATCAGTACACTACTGTCGCCTTAATTTATGTAGGAGAAAGGCCTAAATAAATTCAATAGGAATTCTGTTTCTAAAAGGCTAACAAATATTGCACAATTGACCACTGAAAAAAATCTCGCCTTATTATTTTAGATAAGAAAGAATATGCAGAAACTTGGGGTATATGTCAATAAAATAACACACACACACACACACACAACCTTAAGTCTCTCATTCACATGATCAAAAGAAATTTTAGAAGCAAAGCTGATGACTAATACACTTTAAGCATCTATTGTCTAAGACAGATAATAGCATCCGGAGCTCAAGATTTACATGCCCTAACAGTGATTAAAATGGTTCAATTAATAATTAATAAAAAATGACAAAAGATTTACATATACTTTGTTCACTTAAGATATTGTTAGTTTGTATTGTTCATTTAAATATTTAAAGTAGTAATTATTGACGTAAAAGTAATGAATTCATGCATTAAACTTGCTTAGAATAATTGATCAAGAGAATTAAAGTGGTAATTTAACTTGAATAAAGAATAGATAGCTAACATTTCATACTGAAATTCTCCAGAGACACGTCCTCATATAGAAAACACATCCATTCTAAAGCATTAACTACAGCTGTCATTAATTTCATTTCAATGTTTAATGGATTACTAATCAAAGCTTCATTTTTTATTTAAGAGAGCGAGTTAGGATAAAATAAAGTTTGACTTAATTTCAAGTTAATAAGTTAAACTCCAACTTGTACCTCTACATCTCTACTGGCCGGTGGACTGTTAATCCCAGACAGTATTACCAGCCCAGTAGCCAGTATTTTGGTATTGGCATGAAAATATTGAAATTTGCCAATATTAAATTTTGTAAATCATTTTAAAATAAGGAATATATCTCCCTAATGAAGAGCTGTGATTCCTTGTCTTTGGCTATACTTTAGGTCTTTTTGGGGTTGATCAGCTCTTTAACATTTGTATAAGGTTTTGAATTTTCAAATATGCTGCCTTGGTCATCACTGAAGAGATGTTAATTATGGAAATGTGCATCTCGTGCAGTAAAACTGGTGCCGTTTATGTGACTTTATACATGTGTGTGTCTTGACTGACAGTATTGACTTTCAGCAGCTGTATATTTGATGAAAATTCTTGTAAAATATGTTTAATTATAGCATAAACAACAATGCAAAATGAATCCTTTATGGACATAATAATGTCTGAGTTTGGTATACAGATTAATGGATAAGTGTTTCCTGACATAAGGACAAGGTCAGTCAAGAAAATTTTGAAAATACTAAGTAACATTTTTTTCTTGATGGAAAATGTGTTGTAACTACTTGCAATGCCTGCTGACATCCTTAACTACTTCCAATGCCTGCTGACATCCTTGTTTTAAGATTAATAAAGATAACATTTATAGGTATCATTATATTTATGATAATCTGTTTTTCTGAAGATATTTACAGAGCCTGGCTTTATCTTTTGGTCAATCTTTTTGGCCAGAAATATCTCAACTTATTCTATCCTGTACAGAAAGCTGTTCAACCTATCACTAATGTTTTTGTCCTGGTTGTTAATAAGAATACTGTAAACCAACATGATTTGGCAAATGATTGTTTCCCATCATTAGCCTTTTAAGATACAGCTGACTGCACAGCAATTAATTTTCAAGATTTTCTAACTTTGTTGATATCTTTATGTAAGTGAACATCCAAATTAGATATTTATTTTTGAATGATTTATATTTGCTATATTTTTGTCCTAACACACACACAAATGTTGGTTCACAGTAGTATGGTTTCAGCATTAACTGAGCAACCAATAGGGCCACCCTTGAAAAAATTCTTTGTTTGATGTTGCCTCCCCATGCAAGCCTTGTAGAGTTAGGAAGGATTTATGGAGTTTTTTGGCCAACAACATAAGTTACATGTTTTAGACAAGAAAACAAGTTGGAGCAGGAAAATATCTTTTAAAAAAAAAACTTGAAAAGATTTGTGTCATAAATTTTTTGGGGTAGGCTTCATTTTAGGTGGGTCGGTAGGCAACATCAAACAATGTAAATTTTATTTTTGGCCTAGACATATTTACACTTTTGGGTATTTAGCTGAATTTGCTCTGAACAACCCTAAATCTGTCTCTGAATAACCTTCTAGCCTCATACAACAATCACTTTATAATTATGACATCAAGTATTTTAAATTGTGAGGCAAAATGTTAATGTTGTTGACTTTAAGTAATGGTGGACAAATTTGTGTACGAGTGTAAATACGTCTATTTCAGTAAGAAACTTTTTAAGCATGGCCTTATTTCTTGCAGTCCCCTTGCTGTCAAAAGGAAATGTCTGTTGTAATCTCTTGTCAATTACTTGTTTCTTTATAAGACACCAGTTTCAAGCCATTGTTTACATTAGATGTTCGATCTAGAGAGCCAGTGGTTACGGCAGTTTTATATCTCATGTCCATTGATTTTCTTCTGCTGCTATTGAAGGACTGGTGTTGCATCGTATATATCGACTCAGAACTTGCTAAAAAATGTAAGATCTTAGCATGTTTTGTATTCATGAGAGATTTGATATGGACAATTATATTGTGATAGTTCAGACAATATCTGATAGGGGATTGTTATTGATAATTGACTGGTTTAAAAAGATAAAGTCCGATACTTTTCACATATTATGTCTAATGCAATGAAAGATATTATAAGATGAATAAGTATTACAATTTTCTTCAGGTGTCTGCAGATGGCTTAACAACTTGACATGCAGCATACATCATGACTTAAAGTGGAGTCAGAGATTGGTAGAAAACTAATGCCAGATAACAATTTACATTCCAGAAGATTTACCAATACTATTTACAACAAAAAAGTAACAAACATTTAATGATTAGATTGAAATAAAAGGTAAGTGTTCAAAATTATGTAAACTTGAAATTTGATTCAGGATTAATATGCCAGATATTAATACTCACTTAATATTTCTATTCCTATGACACAGCTTTTAAAAATGTTGTTTTAGTTTGCTTTTTTAAAACAGTCAATATTGTTAATATTTTTCAAAGAGTAAATGGTGTCCAATTAACATTTAATGTCCCCAGCGTCCCAAATATGACTGTTGCATATATATCCTTTTCACATGAATGAAAATGGGGGATCATTATGAAAAGAACAAAATCTATATAGGCAATTGTTTGATATAATTTCTGCAACACAGTAATTAGAAGAAATTAGATATTCTTATAATTGAAATTTACATTAATTTTTTCAAAGTGCTTCTCCAGACTAAACATACAGATATACTCATGACATTCATGTCTTAAACTCACAGGTTATATGAAAATATTGAGGACACAAAAACAAAAAAATTACATTAGCAAAACAACTTGTAAGAACTCAAACACCAAAGGCCAAGCATTAATGAACAGAACACCAAAAAGACAAGCACCAAAAGCCAAACGCTACCTAAATATAACACCAAAGGCCAAGTGTAACCTAAATATAACACCAAAGGCCAAGCATAACCTAAATATAACACCAAAGGCCAAGCATAACCTAAATATAACACCAAAGGCCAAGTGTAACCTAAATATAACACCAAAGGCCAAGCATAACCTAAATATAACACCAAAGGCCAAGCATAACCTAGATATAACACCAAAGGCCAAGCATAACCTAAATATAACACCAAAGGCCAAGCATAACCTAAATATAACACCAAAGGCAAAGCATAACCTAAATATAACACTAAAGGCCAAGCATAACCTAAATATAACACCAAATGCCAAAAGTTACCTAAATATAACACCAAATGCCAAAAGTTACCTCAATATAACACCAAAGGCCAAGCATAACCTAAATATAACACCAAAGGCAAAGCATAACCTAAATATAACACCAAATGCCTAGAGTTACCTAAATATAACACCAAAGGCCAAGCATTACCTAAATATAACACCAAAGGCAAACACTACCTAGATATAGCACCAAAGACCAAGCATTACCTAAATATAACACCAAAGACCAAACATTACCTAATTATAACACCAAAGGCCATGCTTGCCTAAATATAACACCAAAGGCCAAGAGTTACCTAAATATAACACAAAAGGCCAAGCATAACCTAAATATAACACCAAAGGCCATGATTGCCTAAATATAACACCAAAGGCCAAGCATAACCTAAATATAACACCAAAGGCCAAGCATAACCTAAATATAACACCAAAGGCCAAGCATAACCTAAATATAACACCAAAGGCCCAGCATAACCTAAATATAACACCAAAGGCCAAGCATAACCTAAATATAACACCAAAGGCCAAGCATAACCTAGATATTACACTAAAGGCCAAGCATAACCTAAATATAGCACCAAAGGCCAAGAGTTATTTAAATATAACACCAAATGCCAAGCATTTCCTAAATATAACACCAAAGCCTGGGAAAGGTCAAGAGTTACCTAAATATAACACCAAAAGCAAAGCATTACCCGAAGAAAACACCAAAAGGTCCAGCATCGTCGAAACATAACACCAAAAAGCAAACTTTACCTTTATATAACACCAAAAAGTATCTGAACACTAAAAACCACATAGCATCTTTAAAGAATAGTAAACCTTAAAAGGAGTAAAAACAGGTCACCAAACTCAACAATATGCATAAAGGAACATCAAAAACCAAAAAAGTAACAAGTTTACAAAAATCCAAAATGTCAATTTTCAATATTTAGATATTAAAGTAGGGATATGTATGAATGACTGACTCAAAAATGAAACTGTTTTCTTGTATCAGCAGACTTTTCTCAATCTTGATAGAAAATTTTTTTTCTGTATAAAGGAGTAGGTTCAGTAAGACCCCTTTTTGGCCCCAAAATATAGCAGTTTTACAAAATTGTTAAAATGTAAACTTTTAGCTATTCATTGGAAAGTAGAATACTTCTGTTACATACATATGGGCTGTTTTTGATAATACAATGCATATTTATCGGGTACTAGCATCATTAAGTCATGCTAAATTACTGAAATCTTCATAATTTTAGCATTTGAGTTAATTTTTAGACGATTTACGTCTTAAATGGACGTGGCCGCATTTGTGTTCATTCTTAATATTTAAATATAAGTTGTATTTGATGATAATACATAACATATATAAAGGTTGAGGATGAACAAGGATGCGGCCACTTTCATTTTTGACAAGAACCATCTGAAAAGTGACATATTATGGCATATTTGATAGATCTATAACATTTAAGCTTGAATATGAGCGTCTTTAATGACTAAATCAGTTCAAATCTTTCACATAAATAAATTGATTCTACTAAAGTAGACACTTAAGTGTTTAAAAAGTGTCCAAAATCTTTCATCAGATGAACCTGAAATTTGGGGCCAAAATCGGCCCTTACCGGACCTACTCCTTTAACTTTTATCCCTATAGCATTCATATTCATTTTCAATGACAAGGAAGGGTCTTTTGCATGATTTTTGTCGAGCCTGCGACTTTTGTGGCAGAAAGCTCGACATAGGGATAGTGATCCGGCGGCCGCGGCGTTAGCTAACATCTTAAAAGCTTTATATTTTAGAGGGTGGAAGATCTGGATGCTTCATACTTTGTATATGGATGCCTCATGTTACGAAGTTTCCGTCAGTCACATGTCCAATGTCCTTGACCTCATTTTCATGGTTCAGTGACTACTTGAAAAAAAAGTTAAGATTTTTTGTAATGTTAAATTCTCTCTTATTATAAGTAATAGGATAACTATATTTGGTATGTGCTTACCTTGCAAGGTCCGCATGCCCGTCAGACAGTTTTCACTTGACCTCGACTTCATTTCATGGATCAGTGAACAAGGTTAAGTTTTCGTGGTCAAGTCCATATCTCAGATACTATAAGCAATAGGTCTAGTATATTCGGTGTATGGAAGGACTGTAAAGTGTACATGTCCAACTGGCAGGTGTCATCTGACCTTGACCTCATTTTCATGGTTCAGTGGTTATAGTTAAGTTTTTGTGTTTTGGTCTGTTTTTCTTACACTGTATGCAATAGGTCTACTATATTTGGTGTATGGAATGATTGTAAGGTGTACATGTCTAGCTGGCAGGTGTCATCTGACCTTGACCTCATTTTCATGGTTCAGTGGTCAAAGTTAAGTTTTTGAGTTTTGGTCTTTTTTTCTAATACTGCATGCAATAGGTCTACTATATTTGGTGTATGGAATGATTTTAAGGTGTACATGTCTAGCTGGCAGGTGTCATCTGACCTTGACCTCATTTTCATGGTTCAGTGGTCAAAGTTAAGTTTTTGAGTTTTGGTCTTTTTTCCTAATACTGTATGCAATAGGTCTACTATATTTGGTGTATGGAATGATTGTAAGGTTTACATGTCTAGCTGGCAGGTGTCATCTGACCTTGACCTCATTTTCATGGTTCAGTGGTCAAAGTTAAGTTTTTGAGATTTGGTCTTTTTTTCTAATACTGCATGCAATAGGTCTACTATATTTGGTGTATGGAAATATTTTATGATCTATATGTCAGTCATGCAGGTTTTATTTGACCTTGACCTCATTTTCAAGGTTCATTGCTCAGTGTTAATTTTTTGTGTTTTGGTCTGTTTTTCTTAAACTATAAGCAATAGGTCAACTATATTTGTTGTATGGAAGAATTGTTAGCTGTACATGCCTGCCTAGCATGGTTCATCTGACCTTGACCTCATTTTCATGGTTCATTGGTCAATGTTTAGTTTACTTGGTTAATGTTAAGTTTATGTGACAGTTGTAATAAAGCTTTATATTTAGGACTATCAACATAATATCAATGATTAGTAAAGAAGGCGAGACATTTCAGGGTGTGCACTCTTGTTAACATTATTCATAGGCGGATACAAGGGGGGGCCCGGGCCCCCCTTTTGTGGGAAAAATTTGGTTGATTATATAGGGAATCACTGGAGCGGCCCCCCCTTATGAAAAGTTCTGGATCCGCCACTGTTATTTCCCTATTGAAAATCCTTCATTTTAAAAGTTTTGATTTATACCAGATTTATAAATTGTTTTTTTCCTCACTTGATGATAAATAATGAAATTGAAAGTACAAAATGGAATTTAATTAAATTTTATCAATGACTTCATGCTTTTACGCTATGGTGCTTTATCTTGCTGAGGCTGTTCGGATTTAAAATGAAATTTGTCACATAATTGATTCTCAAGCTGCACGTTATAATTAAATCTGCAATCAGTTTTCAAATTTAGGTTACGAGGTTGCTTTAAAGTAATTAGATTTAAAACCTGTCTGTTTAGATTTTAAATACTGTCAATATCTCACTGATATTTTTGGTAGATATTCCATCTCTTTAATTAGTACTATCTGCAGCACATCAATCTAATTGGACACACGGTGTCTTTTAAAAAAGTTCTTTTGGTGTGCCACTATACTCTGAATTCTTATGACATTCTTTAAGGTTTTTTGATAGTACAAAATGTAAAATGGATGAGTTTCATGACAATACTGGGAAAATTGGTTTTTGATATTTGAGAAAGTTTGCTGTTAAACTAAACAGGATGACTATTTTATAGAGTACGTGCCTCCATGTCTATCTGCGTCTTAATATCTTGGTTCATTGAAAGTTTACTTTGAATTGGAGATTAACACAAGTGCTGTGCAAAATATATTTGCTATAGTTTTGCCACTTCCAGATAAAAATGTCCTACTTCTCCTAGATGTAGTTTTCCTTTCATTATTTTTAATAGTCGGCTATGAAGTATTTTCATCTTTTTTAGGTCACTGTCTTCAGAATTATCTGAGAGTCTATAACAACCTAACTAAATTAACTAGATGTAATATCTGTAAATTGTGTTTTTTAGACAGAACAAGATTATTTTAATGATAAAATCAGCATTTTGATGCTTACTTTCAGTATTGATTTTTGTACTAGACAGAAGAAATGATTAACTTTAAAGGGCTACAGAGACCTAACAGTTTTTTTTTTTTTCACAAACATTTATAATTTACAAATTTTTATGTACAAATAGTTTTGTCAGGGATAAAGTAATATGAAATATGATTGTATCAATAATTATTAAGGTGCAATTATTACTTTACCCTTATGAAATAAAATATTAGATAATTGGACCAATGTTAATTCTGAATCAATTTTCTTCACGGCTGATCAAAGGGTTTATTTTGTCTGATCACCAGAAAAATAATGAAAATGAATGTGTGGAATTTCAGGTTATGTGAAATGTTCATTTATAATTTCAACATTGTCCATTATTGTTAGGGAGATTAATAATGATTAATGGGGAATATTTAAGAAAAACTGAAATACACTTGGTAATATATTATAATGATTTACTTTGATGACTTTAACTCCTTTCCCATCAGTTAAGTAATTGATTATGTTTTACTGTTTGGTAGGTTAAGTTCCAGATCTAAACAACTCCAAATACTTACAAGAATGATGTTCAGTTCCTATGTCTGGTCTAGTACAGAGTGTCCCTACAAAATATAGATAATCAAAGATATTTAGAGGAAAGGAGCTGGCCCCCTTCCTTTATGGAGCTACATTTAGACTTTTTGCACGTTCCCCTCCTAACGTTGTCTTTCTGGTGGGCTCCTCCTTTTTCAAAATCCTTGATCTGCAATATATAATTGTAACTGTTATCCTTGAAACAGCCTTCACAGGTTAATTATTGAGTTAAAGTTCTTCATTTCCTTTGTTAATGGACCCCCCCGGCTTTGGTAGTAGTCTTGGCTTTTTAAGCATTCCATTTCTGTATATTGTATTTGGACCTTAAAAGTAACATGAAGTTCTTCATTTGACTGAATCCTGTAAAAACTTGTTTTGGGCTAGAAATTAAAACTTTTAGATTAAAAAAAAAATAAATACAAAAAATTATTTTGTTTGATCAGATTAGT